TCATCAATTTAAACCCTGAATTTCATTCCGTGTCACAATCTACACCCCGATTCATCTTAGTTACTTTGTTTAACAGATTTTTTTTCTTTAAAACACACGTAGCACTCTTTCATTTGCTATCTTAACTTGATACTACTCATATACATAAACTCAATTACACCAAATTACTATCACTATTTATCACACATTCATTAAGTCTGAGCAATCAATAATAAACATATCGTGAACTAACACACATGGTATCAAACCCCACTATACCTCATCACCATCTATTGTCATTCACCTTTTAATTATTTAGTATTTCCGGAGTATGGACACGTGGTGCTACATAAGGTTTTAATTGGTAGAGAGGACTAAGGGTCCACAATTTATGTTAGAGATGGGGAACAACATAGGACTAAGTCATTGGTGATTGACTTGGAATATGACCACGTAATGTTCCGGAATTATTGAATAATTTCCCCTTCAATACCCACTGTACAAGGATCATCATCTTCACATTCCCTCTTCCACCGACGACCATCATTTTCTTACTTCCCTTTCCACAGGCGACTACCACCCCTTCATTTATTCTTCTTCTTCTTCTTCTTCTTCTTCTTCCACTGGTCTAGCCCAACGCGTTATTGTGACGTCATTGGATATGGATTCAGCATAGTTCGTAAGTGCTGAAAAATGTGAATCGTCAATGGATATGCAATTATGACTTCAACTTCGATCCAAACCCAGCCAAACCTCTGCCCTCGTGCCGTCATTTTGGGGTTTCTATTTTGGCAAGGTGAAGAGATGAATCTAAGGGATGGGGGTTGTGGGTTGGGTTTGGCAGAAGAGGGAGGAGATAAGATGGTCATGAAAATAAAAGAACATACCCTTTAGTGTAGACATAATCCCCATCAACTTGTAACATGAAGAGAGCAAGAATCCCTTGTTCCTAAATATTCCTGTCCTTTTATTCGAAATCACTCACAATCATTGGATCATATGAGAATCTAAGATTTGAGAATCTCAAAACATATCCAATGGTTGTAAGTGATTTGAGACAGGAGATAAGAATATTTAGGGACAGGGGATTCTTGAGCACATGAAGAATACCTCGTTACCGTTATGCAAAGCCTGTAATCAAACTGTCCATCGAACTTCTATAAACAAAAACACAAATACCCAAAACCCAAAATCATAATTGATCCAAAAAAAAAAAAAAATTCACAATGCACTGTATAGTAGCCAAGAAACATAAGATTTAACATTATATATTTTTTAGTTTTTCTCTTATTCTAACTTTTTCGTTCCTCTTGTCTGTTGCTTTTCTCATTAACAAAACCAAACAGGGCATTAACATACTGATCTCATAATCAAGTGAACATTGTGCTACTCTCCACATTTCTTAGGGGGAACATTTTACTCATATTTCTTTAAAAACCATTCTCAGCCAAATATATATATATATATATATATAAAGAGAGAGAGAGAGAGAGAGAGAGAGAGAACAAAGATGATGGATTCAAACAAACCTTAACGATAAACTTTCCACTGTTGTATAGTTTGTCGGAATCTAGATTCAAAGCCGGTAAGAGAGAGAAATGGAATCCATCAATATCGTTCCAATTGTTTACATGGCCACCGTCGAGGGTGATGAGTCCAGACTTGAAGGAGGCTCGGAGTTGGATCTTAGGGTCCGGATCGTAGCTCCATTCGCTGCTCTTTTGATAAAATAAAAAATCAACAGATTTGTTCACCTTTTTTCTCTCTCGATACGTGGAGTGTTTTGGAAAATTAGTTGACAATTGATTTTTTGACTCTTATGTGGGTAAGTTTTTTTTTTTTTTTTTTGATCGATTTTTATGAATAAGTTATGTGAGAGGTGATGTGACTCAAAATTAATTAAAAGTTAAAAATTGACTTTTTATTTACTTTCCAAATTGCCACAAATGTACTATACAGAATGGGTGTGTATATGTATACTATTATTAAAGATCTAAATTAGTTTAGTGAAATATTATTCTCCTTATGCCACGTGACAACTGTATATATATTAAAGTAAAAAAATTATTATACATTGAGGTCAAGTTTGGGGAGTCTCAAAAAAGTCAAAAAGTTACTTAAAAAGTCAAAAAGTTATCACTATTTATCAAAAGTCAACAATTACGGCTACATAACTCTCAATACTAATTTTTCTCTATACATTAATTTATACAATTTTTTAATACACATTTTTTCATAAAAAGTCAAAAAGTTAACCCAAATATTCATATTTTCAACCTCAACTTTTTAGTCTAAAAAGACAAAAAGTGCACTTATTTAAGACACCCCAAACAACCTCTGAGTTTTATTAAGAATATATTTATCACTTAGACAATATACATATTATGATATTAAATTCTTTATTATTTATTTTTATTATTAGTTATTAGAATTGCACACGCATTACGTGTGCCACCCGCTAATATATACAAAATATATACAGTTAATAGAAAATTTAATTTACAAAAATATCCCAACTTTGTTAGTTATATTTTACTGAAACACACAAATAACTAAAATTGTTTTAAAATAAAAAATTAAAGATTTAAATGGATGAAATTAAAATTTTGAAGTTTAATTTAAAAAAGACGATAAGTTTGGAAAGATTGAAAAAAGACAAAAAGTCAAAAAGTCACTATCCTATTTAAGTCACATCATCTTATTTAAGTCACATCACCTCTCTAACACATCACTTCAAACCCAACCCAAACCCAACCCATATTTCATAAAAAGTAAAAAAGTGCACTTATTTAGTCTTCCCAAACTAGGCCTAAATCATAAGATTTTTTTTATAATTTATTTTAAAATATTTTACTTGTTTTTTTTATTCAATCAAAACGAAAAATGAGTAAAATACGTGGAAAAAAAAAAAGCATTTTACGTTGGAGTCCCACTTACCATACTACCAGCAGCAATCACTTGATTGAAGAGAGAGAGAGAGAGAGAGAGAGAAGAGAAACTCCATCGTTGAAGCTTCGTCGGCGGTCGTATTTCGCTGGCAGATTGAAGAGTGAGCTGAGCTTCAACATTCAAAAAGGTTAGTCCAACGAATCAAAGAGAAAGAGAGACAAAACTCGCTCTTCCACGAATAAACCAAAGACCTCTTTTCAAAGAGACTTCCCTAGTTGGCTCATCTTCAAATGTTTGTCCAAATTTTGCATATTGCATTATTTTTACATAATTTAGATTTTTGGGATATAAATTTAGTTTCTGTTTTCACGCCCAAAAGTTTTTTTTTTTTTTTCTAAAGATTTTCTAAATTCAATTTAGGGATTTTTGGAATATGTCAAGTCAGTTCTAGATTTGGGACAAAAGAAATGAGTTAATTACCCTAAGTATATTGCAGGTTTGGACTTCGTTAGTTTGATAAATTTTATCCATTTGAATCGTGAGACTATGGAGGAGCAAATAATTTTTTCTGTATTAAATTTGTGAGAGCAGTGATATTCAACTCCAATTTTCTCCGTATTTGTAAAAGTGATTGCATATTTTTAATTGTTAAAGTGATATCGATGTTTAAGCATTGCTTGTAAGAACGACCATGGGCCAATGTTGCATATTCTTATGTATCAATTTTTTTTTTTTACCAAACACTTGATGGACTGTAACCCTGGTGGGGGGTGAGATCCACCATTAGCTGCCATAGTGAAAATGTGACCGCCGATCAACGATGGTGTTTCTCTCTGTCCTGTAATGAGTGTTACTGAGAGTTATTTTCTCTCTTCAATCATCCACACCTAATGACATGGTGTGCCACATCTGCTTCTTTGTTTCAATCTGTGTTTTGATTGTGTGAGCGTAGCATTACTCAGTCATTCTTGTTAATGTCATTGCCATCTGAGTCACACACTTCATTATTGAGTTGGCATTGAGTCTATTAAAACCCGCTTTGAGACTATATTTGTTCAACTCTTTCATAAAGGTGATTTACATACCAAATGAGGCCTTTGTCAATCTTGCAGACAGTAATCATGTCATCCATATAAGAAGTACAACCCCGTGAAAGAAGAAGAAGAAAGAAAGAACCCTTTGGTGGTGAGAGATGGCTATGGCGGAATCTGTAGCTCTATCTTTTGCAACCTTTGTGGTGAAAAGTCTGGGTGGGTTGCTCATCCAGGAGGTGATAAACTTGCGTGGGGTAAGTTGAGCAATTGCAAGCCCAGGAGCAATTGCAAGCCCAACTGAACCGGATGCAATGCTTCTCAGAAGCTGCAGACACAAGACCAAAAGGAGGAGCAGATGAGAATATAATCCACAACTGCATTGGTGAGGTCAGAGAAGCATCCTATGATGCTGAAGCTGCATTTTCAACTTTTGTTGTCAAAATTGCATTTCGTACTTGTGGGAGATCAGATCAGTTCCCTTTCGTTCTCAAGAGGTATTTGTGTATCTTCAAGGAATGTTTGGCCCTTCGTGAGGTTAGGTTGGAGATTGAGGCTATTAATACGAGGATCACCAATAGCTGCACAACAGGTTGTCAAATTTGTGGCATATTAAATTCTACAGGAGTAGGAGAAAGTTCATCATCAACTTCTATGGCTGAGAGGCAGCAACAATTAAGGCGATCCTATACCCATATTGTTGAGGAGGATGTTGTCGGCACAGAAGAAGATGTAAAAACAGTAGTGGATCTTTTGGTGAAGGAGAAGATGCATTATAGAGTTGTTTCCATTCGGGGGATGGGTGGTCTTGCAAGACCACCCTTGCTATGATGGTTTACAAACACATTGAAATTATGCGTCATGTTAAATGTGTTGCGTGGGCCTATATATCTCAACAACGCAATACAAGGGAAGTTCTTGAAGGGATTCTTATCAAACGAAGAAAGGAAAGCGATTGGAAAGTTGAAACATGATGAGCTAGTCAAGAAACTTCATCAAGTCCAAAGTGAGAAGAAATGTTTGGTGATTCTTGATGACATTTGGAAGGATGCGGATTGGGATAGTCCAAGTCCAGGCTTCCCAAATACTACAAGGTAGGCAGCAAGATATTGCTAACAACTCGCAATGAAAATGTTGCTAAGCATGTAGATCAACAATGCGTGCTTTATAAATTGAGGCACTTAACAGAAAAGGAGAGTTGGGAGCTGTTTGTGAAGAAAACATTTCTGAGAAGACAAGGTACCGGTAATTATTAACATCCTACGCAATCAAATGATTTGTGCTTTTAAAGTTTCAAATGTCTTTCTTAAACTACTTGCCTTTCGGATTTGAGTTCTTTCAATTTTACAATTCAATTTGAGAGAACAGTTTGGGTTTGGTGGACCCATTTTGAAGTCAATTTCAGTAATTTGAATCGTTCATTGTTTTTAGAATTCATCAGGTAGAATATTCATACAAAAATTCAAAATGATAGGGTATCGATAGCTATATTTTTAAGTCACAATTGTATTACAAAAAATTTATGCTATTTTTATAAATATATCTGTTGTCTATTTTCATGACAAATGTGATTCAAACATATAATTATTGATATCTGATCATCTTTTTTTTACAAGAATATTATACTCAATGAATCTTAAAAAGTGAACAGTGTTTATCACCGAGATCAGCCCAAAACGGGCCGATTAAGCCCAATTGCTCTCTCAAGTTGGATGGCCAACTTTATAATTATGCAGACAAATTGCCTAGTTTTTGAAGGATAATTTTAAATGAAATTAAAAATTAGTGAGAAGCAAAAAATAATTAAAAATTTATGAGGTGCAAGTGAATGCAAATAAGAGATATCTCCCTGCCACAACTTTACAAACTCATTTATAGCTCTGAATTTTTTATTATTTATCTCATTTCTTACCACCAACCTCCTTTAACTGCATTTATAAAATCCCAAGAGATTCTATCATAGGCTTTTTCAAGATTAACTATACCCCAGATTTACCCTTTTTGTATCTAAGAGTGAATAATTTCTTGAGTTATGATAATGTTGTCAATGGTAGTTCTGCCAGGTATAAAGCTACTCTGATTGGGACTGATGAGGTCAGAGAGGAGAGGTCTTATTCTATTAACAATGATCTTGGTGATGATCTTATAGGTGACATTACAGAGACTAATAGGTCTGAATTGTTTAATGGTCTCAAGGTTATCCAGTTTAGGAATGAGGACAATTTGTGTTTCATTGATCTCCTTAGGGACAATTTTGTTATGAAAACAATTCTTGATGAAATAGCAAACAGAAGGGCCAACAATGTTCTAGTTCCTGTGATAGAAAATAGCTTGGATACCATCTTTCCCAGGTGCTTTGAAAGCTTTAATGTTCTTGATGGCATTCTAGATCTCATAGTTAGAAATAGGGGCTAAAAACCTGTCATTGTCCAAGGTAAATCTAGTTCTAGCAATGTTGGTCCAACTCTCCAAGAGGGTGATTTCCTCATACTTAAATAGGTTATTAACATGATCAATGACATGGGTTTTGAGGTCATTGGTGTCAGAAATCTAGTTACCCCTATCATCTCTAAGAACATTAATTTTTAACTTCCTTCTCTTATTGAGGGTAGAGATATGGAAAAACCTAGTGTTTTGGTCACCCATAATGAGCCATTTGGATCTAGACTTTTGAAACCAGAGAGTCTCCTCTTGAAAAAGAGTATTATTAAATTGTTTCACTAGGTCTTTTTCTAAAACATGAAGGTTGTGAGAAAAGGAGTAGGCTTGGGCTTTTTGGATTCCCTCTATGTGAGCAAGGAGGGTTCTTTTTCTTTTAAAAATGTTTCCAAACACATCCTTATTCCAGATTTTGTTGTTCTAAGTAAAAGCATCAATGGCACTTAAGAGGTCATTGTCCATATTAAGCCAAGAATTCTGGACAACATCAGTGAAATTAGGGTGACATTAACCATGCAACTTAAAATCTAAACGGCCTATTCTAAGGGTTAGAGGGATGCATACCTTGGGTGAATACCACTAGAGGGGAGTGGTCTGAGTGTTTTCGAGGTAGTGTCCTCACAGTGCCTTCAGGAAAGAGGGCTCTCCATTTGTCATTACTCATTGCTCTGTCTAATCGTTCCATGGTGTTGGCCAGTACTTGTCTGTTGTTAGTCCAGGTAAGTCTAGGACCTATGCTCCCCAGATCAATGAGGTTGCAGTTATTGATTCTCTCCCTGAATCTCTAAGTTTTGTTAAAGTTGTGGTTGGGGGAGAAGCTCCTTCTTTCACTTTGAACAGTGAAATCATTGAAGTTCCCAGCAACCAACCATGGCTGGTTCATGTTGTTAGCTGTCTCCTCCAGTTCCTCCCATAGATTCTCTCTAGCTGCTAGATTTGGACTGGCATACACTGCTAATAAGACCCACTCTTCGTAGTCTTCCTTGTGAATGGTAGCCTGTATATACTGATTAAATACAACAAATGTTCAGACATTAACATGATTTGTATCCCATATAAGCCAGATATCCCCCCATTCTTCCTATTGGATCAACCACTGTAGAAGCTGAGAAGCCCATATTGTTAAAGAAATTCCCTAGGGAGCTGAAAATGACTTTTTTTTCCATGGGGATCAAAATTTCTGGTTTGTGTGTCCTGATAAGCTCTCTTAAGTTGCGCTTGAAAGTGTTGTTCCTGTCCCTCGATAGTTCCAGATTAAGATCTTCACAGAGTCCATGGATGGATAATTTGGGAAGGGTTCAGAGGCTAGCCTCATAATGATGCTTCGAATCTTATGATAGTCTTGGTCTATTGACCTCATGGATGTCATCTGGAACGGGTGGATCGTAATACCTAGTATGGTGCTCCATCCTGGTTCGATTCTCAGCCTTATCTATTCGATCCACTATACTGTGTCTACGCGGTGAATTGTTTCTATCCCTAGTCCTAGTAAAAGACCCATCGCACTGCCCTCCATCTTGTGCATCAAGACCATTGGTGGAGTTACCTCCTCTCTCTCCATGGCCGATTCCTGGGTCTGGTGGTTTTCAAGATCTTGGGTCTCTATCTCCCAGTGGGGAAGTTTGGTTTATAGTAAGAGGGTTAGGTGGCGGTGGGTTAGTGTTGTCATCTATTACCTCCTTTATTGGGATTTCTGGGGAATCAATTTCTGCTAGCGTGGGATTAGGGTTTGTAGGCCTAGATTGAGCAGGTATCATACCAAAGACAGTGATGTCCTTATCCAGACTGGTTCCAGCCATTTGATGTGAAAGGGCTTATGCTTTGGCATGTAGCTTAAGTGCTACAACATTCATAGGATTTGCTAGGCCTTTAGGTGGGCTTGAGTTCTTTTGAGTATAGTTAGTGGGCTTCTTGTAGGTTGGGAATGTCTCTGGCCTAGGTTGGGGCGTTTTAATAGAGTTAGAGATCTCATTCTCTTGGCCCGATTTGGTGGTTTTCTTGCCTCTGGTGGGTTCCTCTTCCTGATGGCTGGTGCTACCTAACTCAGCAAATTTGTTGGTGTTTGGGTTGGCCTCATAATGTTGGGCTTTCTTGTACGCATTTCAGGTGCCGGATCTTTTTCTTTACTAGCATCCATGGCCCAAAAGCTTCGTCTCCTTCCTCTATCCCAATTTTTTGAAGGTTACCGTTATCCACTGGTTGTGCCATTTGGATAGTTCCTGTAATGGCTAGTGGGTTTCCCGTCGGCTAAGGATTTGAGCTTTGAGTCAACTCGAACACTGGGTTCACAGCCTTCAATCTACATAGCTCCTTTCGGTGATCCACCTTGCCACAATGAAAACCAAAAGAGTGGATAGATTCATATTCGATATTATAACTTTTCTTACCTAATACAAATCTTGGACAAAGTGGTTTTCGTGGTCCACTTTGATGCAAACCCTTGTGAAGCGTCCTCTTGTAGCCATGGTTGTGGTGAGATCAATCTTCAGTGGTTTTCCTAGTTGCTTCAAGATGGTATAGAAGACTTTCTCTTGAAAATACTCAATCGGAAGCTCTGGAAACCGAACCCAAACAGCAGTGGTGGTTTCGAGGGCTTTTGATGCCTTGAAGTCAAGCTCCCATTTACGCACTGTAAGATAATGGTCCACGATTACCCATGATCCTCCTGAATAAACCATTGCACAGTCCTCTTTGGAGGAGAACTTGAATAAGAAATAGTTGTTACCCAAATCAATGACGTTGAATTCATCTTGCAGCCTCCAAAGTGTCTTAACTCTAGTACAGAGCATTTTGTATCCTACACTCTTGCCAAGCAATCTGACGATGAGTGCATTCGTCCATGGTTGTCTGATTTCTTGCAATAGCTTTTTAGGGAGGGCGATTCTGGGTATTCCATTGTTCCTTTGTGATTGATTCCCAACTTGGATGTGTGTGTCTCCATCCTCATCCTCATCCTCCTCTTTAATGATAATATTGGCTGTTAAATCATCAAAGTAGAAATCTTTGGTTTTGGGTGCCGCAAGAGCTTCTTTGAAGGATTTAACGTTGGTCCCCTCAGCTGGAGCAGTCATTAGCTTAGAACTTGTTGCTTGAGAAGGAGCTGGGAGATTTTGAAGGGGCAAAACTTCCGTAGTGATTACCATCTCTACTTCCCCCATTGATTCCTTGCTTTTAATCTTCTTGGTGCTACGGATCAGATGATCCTCTTCCTCTTGAGACTTTCCGTTGGGATCTATTTCTGCTATTTCTGGTGTGCTCATTCTAGAGAGAGAATTTTTGCAAGCCTGACTTTGAATATTTGTATTAATCTAAACACTCTAATCTACTTCCTCTAAATCTATACACACACACACACCACTTGTAAATAGAAAACAGAGGAGAAGACATGCGGAGATAGGGGTGGTGGTCCTCTCTTGTCAGAGCATCTTCAATCCTTCACATTTTCTTTCATCAAATTTGAAAGTGTTCAATCTCCACTCATTTCATCAATTGTTCGTCAAATCAAGGGAAAGTAATTTTTTATCAAATTGAGAACTCATCAAATCCTTTATCAAATTTGAATTTGATGAAAATTTAGAAAGATAAAGCATTGGAGATCATTTTTTTTTCCCGATTAAATTTGATGAAAACAAAAATTTGGAATAAGAGGAGATTTTTTATAAAGATTTTAATGAAAGAAAAGGAATGATTTCAAATTTAGAAAGATAACGCATTGGAGGTGATTTTTTTTCCCCCCGTCAAATTTGATGAAAACGAAAATTTGGAATAAGAGGGGATTTTTTATAAAGATTTTAATGAAAGAAAAGGAATAATTCATATCAAATCAATCTTTTTGCTTAAATTTGAAATCAAATTAGATGAAAAAATTGGTGGAAGATTGAAAATGCTCTATCTGTTAGAAGAATTTTAACATTGGCAAAAATTAGATGGACAAAGATGATTGGTTATGTAATAATAAACTAACTAGAACAAAACAAACCATACATACCTTGGGCTATGGTAGAATTCAAGAATATCAAATGTTTGGCAACATTCAATTTTAGCCTAAAAATCAAAAAGTAAAAAAAAAAAAAAAAATCCAAAAAGTCAACAAATTATATTAAAAAGTCAAATATTCTCTTTTCCCTCAACTTTTTACACATATTTTCATAAAAAGTCAAAAACTCATCCTAAACATACTAGTTTTTTTTTTACCTCATATTTTAGACAAAAAAATCAAAAAGGTACTAAATAGCTTGTTCCCAAATGAGGCCAGGATTAATAGTGACAGAATTAATAATTTCATAAATTAGTGTAAGATGAGTTATCCAATTAAATTAGTGAGATAACCAATTATTATGTATTCATTTTGGGTTTTTTCTTTCATATTTGAAATTATGATCCCCGCTCCTCTTAATAATAAAAATTTGTCAATTTCGTCGAATTGAATGTTTGCCGACATGTAATCCGATTAATAAAATTTACAATCAAACATGGAATTGTAAGTCCATAAATTAACAATCTCAATCCTATGCTATAATCTTACTAATTAAGCATGCCCACAATTTAATTACTATTAGTCTCTACACTAAAGCTTTAATCTTTACACCAACAAATATGGTATAGATTCAAAGTCTTCTCTCTCTTCAATCACACTACTATGTTCCTAGTGATATGATGTTAAGCTTCTAGGAAAATTATGTGTTGTATGTGAATAGAGAGAGGGACCTTGAATCCTATTTAATAACAAGATCCTATTTTTTATTTAATTAATTAAGTGTATGATGATTATTCAACTAATTAAGAATTGATAAATTGTAAAATTTTAGGGTTTGATTTGTTATGGAGGTTAAATCTTGGGTTTTATTTATTTATTTTTGTAATTTCTCCTATATATATAAGAGGTTACAATGTGTATCTCAAAAGGGTGCATATGGTATCTTCTTCATAACAATCCTGTAAAATTTTACAAATAACATAAACCATTAAATTTTATAAATTCTCACCACAGAAGTCATAATCTCTCACCACAAAATGCCATTAAAAGAATCAAAAGTCATAACTTCGCCATTAATAACTTTAAGATGCACAACATAAATTCACTATTGGTAACTTTATCACATAGTGACATAACACACTACAAATATTCATTACTTTCATCACATAAAATCGTAACTTTCTTACGATGTGCACCTGCACCGTTAGGGATGCATGCTCTAGATTTGTCTAGATAACAAATATAATATATGAAACTAACTTATGTTACGATATTTTGTTAAAAATTAGGACAGTAAGACAGACTATGTGACTTAAGCTCAAATCATGTTCGACTTGTTCAAAGCTTGTTTGAGATCGGTTTGTTAAAAGTTTGTATTATTTTTATTTTTTATGTAATGTTTAAAATTTTGAGAATTTTCTCAAAATCAATTTTAAAATAGTTCCACCCAATGCATTTTTGTGTATCATTTTAATTTTTTATAGTTTTGGGAACAAAGAATTTTAGCCTAGACACAATGTTAGTTGGACCTCATGTTAAGTGATGAAACTTACATATAATAATTGTGTTGTAGTTAATATATTCGTTGGTATATTTATTGGTATTCTTAGCATTAGTGTTTTTAATATAAATACACACTGCTATTTTTTTCTTTGTATCAGTACCGTCCATATAGACTAGTACAAACTTACCAACAGATGTATTTTTTTTCCCTCTAATTTTGCAGGATTCACATTAAGTACATAAATGATTGAGTTAGTGAAGGCAATGGTCAAGCATTGTGGTGGTGTACCATTGGCAATTGTGGTATTAGGAGGACTTTTGACAACGAAAGACAAACTGGTTGAGTGGAAGAAGGTGAGTAAAAACATTGGTTATGACTTAGGTAAGGGCAAAAGCCAGGGAGGAATTCCAATAATAGATATTTTAGCCTTGAGCTACCAAGACTTGCCTTACCATCTTAAGGTGTGCTTTTTGTATTTGAGCCAACTTCCTGAAGATTATGGCGTTGTTTGGTTTGTTTTTCAGAAAAATTTTTGAGAAAAATTCTCTACAAACAAAATTTTAAGAGTAATTAAACCAAACAAATTTTTTCAAAAAAAATTTCAAAATTTTGTTTGGTTACCTACTTTTCAAAATCACTCTCTCTCTCTCATATACATCAAATCAATCACTTTTTTTAAAACTCTCTCCCCAAAATAATTTTCCAAAGCCATTTCTGAAAAAAGGCAAACCAAACAAGTTTGCGTACTTTTTATCTCAAAAACAACTCTACAAACACAAACCAAACACACCCTATGTTATTCACGCAAAAAAAATTGATTCAGATGTGGATGGCTGAAGGCATTGTGTTGCCGTCATCGATACCAACACGAGTAGGAGAAGTGGAAGAGGAAACAATGTTCGATGTTGGAATGAGTTATTTGGGTGAGCTAGTCCACAGATGCATGGTTCAAGTCCAATTAACAAGGTTCAACAAAAAGATTAAACTTTGTCACCTCCATGATCTCATGAGAGACTTATGCTTGTTGAAGGCCAAAGAGGAGAATTTTCTTGAGACTGTTCACATTAAAGCCTTTGGTCATCAGCTCATGTGGGTAGACCCTGCACTGCTTTCTTCATCATCATTAACAACAATTCGCAGATTTGCCGTGTACTATTTGGGTGACCGTGATGCCAACTCTATAGAAAACGGAAATATTATTCCCCTATTTGGAAATGAAATGAAGAATCACCACCATATCCGATCATGCCAATTTTACTCTTTTGGCAATGAATTGGAAAGTTCTGGCTGGCAAAAATTAAAATTACTCTTCAAGGGCCTCACATTGATTACAGTTTTAGACCTTGAAAGAATTATTGCATCTGGGAAAGGAAAAAAGTTTCCAAGAGCAATAGGAAACCTAATTTACTTGAGGTATTTAAGTATAAGAGAATCTGATACTATTACAAGTTTGCCTTCCTCTATAGGCAACTTGGGATTCCTCCAAACCCTAGATTTAAGGAGATGGAGCATCAGCAGTTTAAGAATACCTAATGTCTTGTAGAGGTCGAAACAATTGAGACATCTATATCTTCCTTCTCGAATCAAGTTGGCTGGAACAAATAAATTGCGGTTGGATAGTTTAAACAAACTGGAGACGCTAGAATACTTTGATACAGAGTATTGTGATGTCAGATGCTTATCTAAATTGACAAATCTTCAAAAATTCAGTGGTGAGGTAGCCCCCGAAGACTTGGCCGTGATGTTGAAATCCCCAATCCTCAACAATTCAAACTGCCTTCTGCAATATTCGCCCTTCTAGATTAGTGGAGATTTCGAAACAGAAGAAGAACAAAGCCTTTTAAAGCAACTTTTAGGATGCCACCATCTTCGCCAATTGTCATTATGGGGGTACCTGAATCTGGTTGATAAATTGCCAGATCAATTCCCTCCAAATCTCACCTACTTACATATGGGGAATACTGAACTAGAGGAAGACCCAATGCCAACATTGGAGAAGTTGCCCAACTTAAGGAGTCTCATCTTAGATTGGAATTCCTACATTGGGAAGGAGATGGTTTGTTCTTCTGCACCAACAACACCATCCAGCAGCAGCAAATGTTTTCCTTAACTCAAATCTTTAATGCTCGAGTCTATTCAAAACTTGGAGGAGTGGAAGGTGGAACAGGGAGCCATGTCTTGTCTCTTCCGTTTAGTAATAATTGTTGACTGCCCAAAATTGAAGGAGATTCCAGACGGATTGAGGTTCATTACCACTCTCCGTGAATTGCAGATCCAAAGGGTATCTGAAGCACTCAGAGACAGGCATAGAGAAGGACGAGAGGACTTCTACAAGGTCCACCACGTGCCTTCCATCGTAATTCCCTGAGCTGTCTTCGATCTTACTACATTTACATATGGTTGGTTGGTCCTGTGCTCAGTTTCTTTCCCCTCTCTTTCCTTTTCTTTTTTTTTTTTTTTTGGATTAAGGGTTAATTTCACTTGTATTCTCTAAACTATCAACATTTTTTTTTTGTTTCCTCTAAACCATCAATTTTGTCTATTTAGTTCCTAAAATTTTTAATTTTTATTCATGTGGTCCAATTAGAGACAATTGTACAAATCAATAACCATTAAATCCTAATTTGAGGGGGGAAAAAGATAATTTTGTAATTTGAACAACTTAAATCATACAATCAAACACCTTAAGTTGGTTGTGGGTTGTAATTTATTCAAAATAGTAAGAAAAATGAGTGTTTTATTGTATGATTTAAGATGTTCAAATCTCAAATAACATTATTTTAATCAAATTAAGTTTTAACAATTATTAATTTGTATAATTGTCTCCAATTGGGCTCTACATAAACATAAATTAAAAAATTTAGGAACTAAATAGATGAAAATGATAGTTGAATCAAGTAGAAAAAATGGTGATATTTATGACTTCAATGATCTAAAACCATGTCAAAACAAAATTTTCAGATTATTAGTGGTACTAGGTTCGAAAATTCTAACTTTTCGGCCTTGTTCTTTCCTTCGCTTATTGAAATAGAACAAACTGACCAACACTTCATCTATGTTTTAATTTTGCAAAAGAAGTATTAACTACCTTTCAAATTTCATGTCAAATAATAGAGAACACATACATGCATATATGTATGTCTCAAGATATGCTCTCCAATCTTATGATGTTCTGAGAGTTGCCACTATTGCAATCTCATGGCTCAATTGTGTTGGAGAAATATGATCTTATGCAACTCAGGTAACTCATTTTATGTTTGTGTACGACACACGATGCAATTCTCCCCTGTTGTTTGTGTGCAGGATAGAATTTTTTGTAGTATTGTTTATGAATCTAGTAAAATGTCCTTCTCAGAGAATGGAGAAATTAGAAAATTAGTATGTAATTTCTTGTGCTTAGATAGGATCATAACTTCTTGAAAAACATAAATAATTAATCATACTCCAATGTTCACAAGGCATCCTTGCAGAGAAAATTAAGTTTTTTTTTTTTTTTTTGTTCTCCCCGGTTGTCTAAAGGCTGCAATGGATGCACGTGGAGACAACAAAACTAAAGAATCAACCTAACTAAAGAATCAACCTATTCCTTTTAAATCATCAACCTACTACTCATCAATGCATAAGATCCTGCTTGGAAACTTGTGTACTGATTTTGATTTGCACAAGTTAAGACTTATTTGGTAAAATTTTTAAATTTTATATACGATCATGCTACGTAGCTCGAATACCGCGGCTCGAACCGCGGCTCGACACCAAAACGACGTCGTTTTGGTGTCGATTTTGTTTTTTTTTTTTGGTATTCGAGCTACGTAGCATGATCGTATATAAAATTTAAAAATTTTACCAAATAAGTCTTAACTTGTGCAAATCAAAATCAGTACACAAGTTTCCAAGCAGGATCTTATGCATTGATGAGTAGTAGGTTGATGATTGAAAAGGAATAGGTTGATTCTTTAGTTTTGTTGTCTCCACGCGCATCCATTGCAGCCTTTAAACAACTGGGGAGAACAAAAAAACAAAGAAAAACTAATTTTCCCTCTCCCTCTCTTCCTCTCGAGCCATTTCGAGCCTAGTAGCTTCGAGCTACCAGGCATTTTCCTTTTATATATATAAATATATATATATATATACACACATATCACTTGTAAATCTCACATGGGTGTGGGACCCCCACATGGGACCCACATTGTGGGGGTCCCACACCCATGTGAGACATTTGGTAAAATTTTTAGGGTCTCTAGCTTTACTTTTTTAGATTTTGTGTCAATTTGGTCCAATTAATAATATCGTTAATGTTTTTTACGAAAATTTATCACTAAATTAATTGAGGTTAACTCATTTAGTTGAGTAAATTTATAATTTTAATTTTAAAAATATGACATATGACATTTATATGCGTATTTTTCATAAAAAATATTAAAATTTGTAATCAATTAGACCAAATTTAAACAAAAATGATTAAAATCGAGTTAATTGAAATTACAAATATTAAAATGACACAGACTAAAATACAGAAACTACTTTCATAATTTATCCAAACAAGAAATTAACCATGAAAATTAATATAAACAATGACACAAGATGCTAATAAAAATTTGAAAACAATTATTTATTTATTTATTTATTTGAATCTTCGCTTCTTTAATAATTTGTGGGCAGTCCTTCATGTGACATGGTCCAGAAACAACAAAATTGGTGGGCCTTCAACTCTTCGAGTCTATGTTTGTTGGGGAGTCATTCTTGTCGTCGCCATCGGACCCACACGCGCATTGTTGATGAGTTATTTAAAATTGAAATAGATAAGCTTCGAATCGAATCTATTAGATTACGCGCTTTGAAACTTTATTTTTTTAACTCTTTCATAAAGCATACCAAAGGAGGCCTTTGACAATCTGGCAGACAGTCAATAATTGTGGGTTGTCGACCGCGTGGGCGGACTGTAATTGCGTCGTCCATATAACAAGTACACCCCCGTGAAAGAAGAAGAAGAAAGAACACTTTGGTGGCGAGAGATCTCTATGGCGGAATCTGTAGCTCTGTCTTTTGCAACCTTTGTGGTGAAAAGTCTGGGTGGATTTCTCATCCAGGAAGCGAATTACTTGGGTGGGGTGAGGTCTCAAGTTGAGCAATTGCAAGCCCAGCTAAATCAGATGCAATGCTTCTTAGTAGCTGCAGATGCAAGACGAAGAGGAGGAGCAGATGAGATTATAATCCGCAACTGCGTTGCTGAGATCAGAGAAGCATCCTATGATGCTGAAGCTGCAATTGCAACTTTTGTTGTCAAAATTGGGAGATCAGATCAGTTCCCTTTCCCTTTCGTTCTCAAGAGGTATTTGTGTATCTTCAAGGAATGTTTAGCCCTTCGTGAGGTTAGGTTGAAGATTGAGGCTATTAATACCAAGATCACCAATAGCCTCACAACAGGTTTTCAAACTTGTGGAATACTAAATTCTACAGGAGTAGTAGAAAGTTCATCATCAACTTCTCTGGCTGAGAGGCAGCTACAATTAAGGAGATCCTATACCCATATTGTTGAGGAGGATGTTGTCGGCACAGAAGAAGATGTAAAAGCAGTAGTGGATCTTTTGGTGAAGGAGAATACAAATTATAGAGTTGTTTCCATTTGGGGGATGGGTGGTCTTGGCAAGACCACCCTTGCCAAGACGGTTTACAAGCACATTGAAATTAGGCGCCATTTTAAATGTGTTGCCTGGGCCTATGTATCTCAACAATGCAATACAAGGGACGTTCTTGTAGAGATTCTTATCAAACTTCTCTCCCCACCAAAAGAAGAAAGGGAAGAGATTGAAAAGTCGAAACATCATGACCTAGTCAAGAAACTTCATCAAGTCCAAAGTGAGAAGAAATGTTTGGTGATTCTCGATGACATTTGGAAGGATGCGGATTGGGATAGTTTGAGTCCAGGCTTCCCAAATACTACAGAGGTAGGCAGCAAAATATTGCTAACAACTCGCAATGAAAATGTTGCCAAGCATGTAGATCAACAATGCGTGCTTTATAAATTGAGGCACTTAACAGACAAGGAGAGTTGGGAGTTATTTGAGAAGACATTTCTGAGAAGAAACGAAGGTACGGTAATTATTAACATCCTACACGATCTAATTAATTATTTGTGCTTTTAAAGTTTCAAATGTCTTTCTTAAACTACTTTCCCTTCGTATTTGAATTCTTTCAATTTGACAATCCAATTTGAGAGAATAGTTTGGTTTTGATGGGCCCATTTTGGACCAACTTCGGTAAATTCAAATTGTTCATTTTTTTTTAGAATTTATTAGGTAGAATATTCATGCAAAATTTAATATAATCAGATATCAATAGCTATATTTTTAAGTCATATTTATATTACAAAAAATTGATACTATTTTTGAAAATATATTTGTTGTTTATTTTTCATAACAAATGTGATTCAAACATATAACTATTGATGTCTGATCATCTCATCTTTTACTAGATTATTCTAGTCAATGAATCTTAAAAATTGAACAGTTTGAATTACCGAAATCAGTTCCAAAATGATTGATTAAGTCCAACTCCTCTCTCAAGTTGGATGACCAACTTAATAATTATGTAGGCAAATTGTCTAGTTTTTAAGAATAATTTTCAGTGACATTATTAGTGAGAAGTAAAAAATAATCAAAAGTTTATGAGGTGCAAGTGAACACCAATAAGAGACATGTCCCTGCCACAACTATACAAACTCAATTACAGCACTGTGAATTTTTTATTATTCAGCATTTATAAATTTTTATACACACATTAATCTACTTCCTCTAAACCTATATATATATATATATATATACACTAGTTTAAGAAGGCCCGTATAAAATACAGGTTATTATTATAATATATTTAAGTTTTGTATTTTGATAATTTTTT